TAGCCGGGTTTGGTGGTACACATCAGTAGTCCCACGTGTTCGGGAGGCTGAAGTGGGAGGATCACTTGAGCCTGGGAGGTCAAGGCTGCAGTGAGCCATGATTGCACCACTGCACACCTGGGTAAGAGAGTGAGACCCTATCTCAGAAGAAAAAAAAAAGATTACATCTCCTCAGGTGTTCCTGACCACATTAGCCAGAGTAGCATCCCTTGCCCAGCAGCCTAGTCCCTGTATCCTGCAAGAATCTTGTTTACTTGTTTAAGTCTCTTTCGCCAGAATGTGAGCTCCCTGAGGGCAGGGACCTCCTCGGTTGTGGTTACTGGTATATTCAGCTCTTCTGTTGACCAGCAATGTGTTGTTCTTGGGCAAAACCCTTCTCCTTTCCAAACCTGTTTCCTCATCACTAACATGGAGATCATACTAACCCGTGAATGAGAGTTTCAGAAGAAAGCATGTATCTGAAAGCAATATATGACCCATAGTAGGTGCTGAGTAGGGAAATCATACCTGTGTGTCCTCCCATTCCTGATAGATGTGTGAGATGTGTGTTTACTTTCATTTATTTTTCTTCCTTTTTCTTTTTTTTTTTTTTTTTTTTTTTTTTTTTTTTTTTTTTTTTTTTTTTTGTTGAGGAGTCTCACTTTGTTGTCCAGGCTGGAGTACAATGGCACAATTGTGGCTCACTGCAGCCTCCACCTCCTAGGCTCAAGCAACCCTTTCACCTCAGCCTCACAAGTAGCTGGGACTACAGGCACACGACACCATGCATGGTTAATTTTTTTTTTTTTTTTTTTTTTTGAGACGGAGTCTCGCTCTGTCGCCCGGGCTGGAGTGCAGTGGCCGGATCTCAGCTCACTGCAAGCTCCGCCTCCCGGGTTTACGCCATTCTCCTGCCTCAGCCTCCCGAGTAGCTGGGACTACAGGCGCCCACCACCTCGCCCGGCTATTTTTTTGTATTTTTTAGTAGAGACGGGGTTTCACCGTGTTAGCCAGGATGGACTCGATCTCCTGACCTCGTGATCCGCCCGTCTCGGCCTCCCAAAGTGCTGGGATTACAGGCTTGAGCCACCGCGCCCGGCCCTGGTTAAATCATTTTTAAATTTGTATTTTTTATTTTTATTTTATTTTTTGAGACAAGAGTCTCGCTCTGTTGCCCAAGCTGGAATGCAGTGCCGCCGATCTCAGCTCACTGCAACATCCCCATCCCAGGTTCAAGCAATTCTCATGCCTCAGTCTCCCAAGTAGCTGG